CCGCGACTCCGGTCCCCAACGGCACCGGGGTCGCGTGAGCGAGCACAGTTCCTTGCGGAATGACGGTTGTGGACAATCCGACATTCAAAACCTGCAAGAACGGCTCCCTGTCGGCTGCTACGAGGGTCTGTGCAGCCACCAAATCTAACCCCTTAGCAGCTGCGTTTGAAGGCCCCAGCAAAATGCCATGTGCCGAGGCCTCCGGGGCTAGCGGTTTTTTAAGTTGCAAGGGCACGAGCATTTGTGTCCCTGGCGGAACGCGGACTGTGCTCGCAACAAACGCCTGCACCGAGGCACTAGCCATGCGCGGATGTGAGGGTGTGGGCAAGAACGCCATCCGTCGACCCGACGGGAGTTCGATGCAGCCTTGATCTACAAGGATCTTAATAGGCATTTTCGCGAGAAAATCAGTGCCTAACAAACACGGCACGGCGAGGGAAGAAGAGACCAAAATAGGCCCTGCCAATTTAATGTCTCCAATCGAAATTTGCGCCCGAATTTGCCCAATAATGCCAAGTGAACTGCCATTAGCGGCGAAACACGGATAGAAACCCGTTCCAAGGGGCGGCATCGTACGGGCAGTATATTGTAAATCAGATCCGAAATGATCGTAGCCGACGCACCAGTATCGACCAACACGCGAAATTCCACACCCTCGATTGATCCGACAACCACGGATGAACCTGCCGTCGCCGCGACTACCCTATGGGCCAACTCAGACCACTGCCCAGGTCCGAGTGGCCGCGAACAAACGCCAGAATACCCCCCATCACACGCCGAATCGCGAGCCCTTCTTATGGTGCGCTGCAGTGTGTATGGTGTGAATGAGGGCCGAGCGTGAGAGGCGTCGCGACTTGCCTGGTTTTGCCGCGATGCCGTGGACGTCCTGTAGTCCTGGCCCCGGGATGCGGAGGGGCGTCGTCGAGGCGCACGGCAGTCAGAGGAGATGTGGCCTCGTCGGCCACAGTTGAAGCACGTCACGTCGCCGCGTGGAGCAGGCCGTCCCCGCTGCTGGTCGTTGCGGCGACCAGCGTGGTCGGACGATCGCCGGCCCGTTGACCTGGTCGCCATGAAGGCCCGGTCGGGGGAGAACTCGGCATCCCTGCTGGAAGGCTCCGACGTCGAAGCCGAGGCGGCGATGGTCGATTGCGTGTGGAGCAGCAGATGTGCGTGGATGCACCGAGCGGCTCGTAGCGAGCACATACTGTCGTCGTCCACCGCTTGGATGACGATGCGCAGCTCGCGCGCCAGCTCCAGCATTTTCTGGAGAACGATGGCATCGATGGCCTCGTCGTCCATGCGAGGGTAACCCGCTCTTGCCATCGCCAGTAGAGCGGTCCGGAATGCCAACGGAGACTCTTTAGGGCGGTGTCGCCTGTCGTAAAATCGGCTGCGGACGTCGGATGGAGGCCCGTACACGTCGGACATCCGTCGGAGGGCCGATTGAAGAGTCGCCCTTTGTTGCCTGGGGATGGTGAGGAGCGAGGCGAGAGCGTCGTCATCCAAAGTGGCCGGTAGTGCTCGGAGCGCCTGTGCGTCCGACCAGCCCACCATCTCTTGGTGGCTCAGGAAGCGACGCTGGAATGCCGCCCAGTCGCCCCCTTCAGATGTGAATTCTCGGAAGATGGGCAGGCGTTGTTGGAGGGCGGACGTCGTCTCCCCCTCAGCTTGTACCGTCTCGAGCCGGAGATCGGCGATTTCCCGGCCGATAGAGTCTACTGTACCGTGTCGGTACAGTGATGACGCGGCGTCCGCTGAGAAAGTTGAATTCGCAGCGTCGCGTGCTGATGACGTTGCGGGTTGTGATGGGCCCCCCGCGTTCCCAGGATGCCCCTGGCTTCCGCTTCCGGCGGAATCACGTGGTTCCCCGGCGGGAAAATCAAAATGTCTGCCCTGGCCGGTGGCGGGAACGTCTGCCGGCGGTTGACTCGGCCTGCCCGCAACCTCCAAGTTGATCTCTTCGAGAATTGAGGCCGCGGCGTGTAGGAGTTGAGCGAGACGGCCGTGTGCTGCCCTGAGTCCGTCCCCCATGGCAGGGGGAGCAACCGGCTGCTCAACCGGTGGCTGGGCGGCCGTCAACGCGGCAGCGTTTTCAGCGGAGCTGGGGGTGCATGCAGGTGAGACAGCGTTTTCTTCGTTCTGGCTCCGCGCGTGGGCTGAACTTCTGGTTTCCATTTCCAACCACTTCTGACTCCAGTTGTAGTGTTGTAAGGACGAGAAGACTTCTTTAGGAGGCACACTCTGTTTATTGTATTATTTCCTTATACATCGCTTAACACACACAGAGGGATATTCGGTCCCCTCACCCGATACCCTAGGGAGGTACAGCCTCCAGACTTGGCGGGACTCACACGTCTACCGCTAACCTCCTTGATACCTAAGGAGGTACAACCTCCGGACTTGGCGGGACTCACACGTCTACCGCTATCCTAGTCCTCCGGCTAGGACTTAGGGGAGGCTATCTGACCCACCGCTGGCCCGGTGGGTCCTGACCACTGGGTATGCCGAGCCTTAGCCCTTAGAAGGGCTGAAAGGCTGGTCCAGGGTCCTAGCTAGGCTTCAGCCCAGTCTTCTGTCTTCGTGCCGGGAGAGAACTCCTCGAGGTCCGTTGGGTCACCCGTCTTATACCCCTTCGTGGCCAGGTAGAACCAATCACACATTCCCACGTGGAACCGTCTGATTGGTTCGCACCAAACCCTGGCCACGATCCGTTTCACCTCGACTGACCCCAACCGTTGTACCCAGGGGTAATGCTGCACTGCCCTGGTGGCAACGCAGGTTACGCAACAGCGCGTAGTTAACACCTACTAGCTAGTACTAGTAGTAGTACTACTAGTACTAGCTATTAGTAGTAGCTACTACTAGTAGCTACTACGTCTGTAGCTACTAGTAGTAGTAGCTACACATGTAGTAGCTACTACATGTAGTACACATGTAGTAGCTACTACTAGTACTATTACTAGTAGTTACTACACATGTAGTGGATACACGTGTAGTAGCTACACATGTAGTAGCTACTACTCATGTAGTAGCTATTACATACTACTACGGGCCCCGCACTTTATTGGGCCCCGCGCTAAATGCTTTCAAGCTATCAATTCCGGTTGAGTGATTCTGCACCTGCTTTATTACTATAGTACTATACCACCTTCAACTTTTATGAACGACTGGTTGTTTTTAATTTATCGATTTGTCGTATTATCTGGCTGTATAGCAAATGAAAAAAATACAATTACTTTACAGTGCAAGTTCAACATGTATGTGTTTTAACATGTATGTTTTTTTAGGGCCCCTTTATAACATATGCTACAGGCCCCGCATTAGCTTCATCCGGCACTGGCTATTCAGTGCGCCTCTACCTATTACAGACCATGTACAGACTCATATTGGTCCCTATGGTCACAGTCCCTGTGATCACTGTTACGTTGCAATTATGGCTTTATATTTTGGTGATTTCAAAAAGTTTTTTGGTTTGGACATTTTTTGTTTTGCTGTAGTACGGAGTTAGACTGATGGCCTTAATCTAAGTTGTCTTGTGGTGGTTGTTGTTGTTGTTTGTCTTGCATCCCACTGGGATTTTTGCACACAGCGTTGGTGGTGTCCGGTGCCTTTTTTCAGGAATATTTTGCTGTTTTTTTTCATGGATTTTCTGTTTGCACAGTCACATAGTCACTTTAAGATGTTTTCTTGTTCGTGTTTTTGTTTTTTTTTGTTTGTTGTGGATGCACCCGATTCAATAGCCGAATGGCTCACACGGCTATACCAAAATAAATCAACTAAACTAAAACTGGTCACCCCCGTGTCGCTTATACAACGTTCTTCCCTTCCCGCAAAAGAGAAGCACAAATAGAAACAATGCATACTCTTCGGTTCTTTCGGTAAAGTCACGTAGGTATAAAATCAATTAAATCACGACGTTTCGATTGCAACACAAGCAATCATCATTAGGTGGGAAAAAAAACACTTCAGCAAAACATTTTTTGCTGTGGTTTTTTCCCACCTGATGATGATTGCTTGTGTTGCAATCGAAACGTCGTGATTTAATTGATTTTATTTTATACCTACGTGACTTTACCGAAATAACCAAAGAGTATGGATCCCTGCAGTCACGAAAACTTCAAATCTAGATTGAAACAACGCATGTTTGTTGCGGTCCGTGTGTGGACCTGAAAACTCAATTTCCCTGTACAACCTTATGGGTTCACAGCTATGTATTATTATAAAGCTATCTAATCCTGGAAGCCACACTGTGAGTCGTCGGACTATTTTTGTTTTATTTTCAAGAGGATCCTAACCTACTACAGATGTATATTCTTGGTTCTTTCGGTAAAGTCACGTAGAAGGGAAACAATAAAATAATAAAAATATAAAACAATAACGTTTCGACTGCAACACAAGCAATCATCATCACACCTGATGATCACACCTGATGATGATTGCTTCTTGTGTTGCAGTTGAAACGTCGTGAGAATTTTATTGTTTTATATTTTTATTGTTTTGTTTCCCTTCTAACGTGGTGGTGACTTTACCGAAAGAACCAAGAATATGAATCCCTGCAGTCACGACAGCTTTAAATCAAAATTTACTACAGATGTGTTCAGCCAATACAATAACGAGCGGCAACGCTGGTGGGGGGGAGGGGGCAGTACTGGTGGGGGGGCAACGCTGGTGGGGGGCAGCACTTGTATGGGGGGCAGCACAGGCCGTGGGCCAGAGGGTGGGGGTAGCACTGGCGGGCCTATTCTTAGTTTTTTCGGTAAAGTCACGTGCCGTTGCTATGCGGAAGCGGGGTCACGCCCCCAATCGGCATGCTCCGCAAGCCACAACCAATCAGCGGCGCTCTTACTGGTAGGTGCGCGGTGCCTTAGCAACGAGCGGCTCGGCCCGTTCGTTCTCGACAACGTAGTGCGCATAGGCACGGGAGCGTCAGTGCGAGCGCGCGCGATTGGCTGCATCACCGAAGGCGCTTCGATGTTGGCCAATGGCGCGCGTGCTCCGTTCGAGGGCGGAGTCGAGTTTTGGCCAATGGCGTGCGAGGATCGGTTGGGCTGGGCTTATCCGCGCTGTGGTTTTTGAAACCCGTTCAGGGTCCGCACGGGGAGCGATGTCGCGTGTCGGCTCAATGCGGGGGCTCGGCAACCCGAACGTGAGTTGAGTTGTTTGGTTTTCTCTTTTTATTCTTCCCTTCATTTCACGTGCAAGAGTTAAAATTACTAAAAAAAAATATGGACAAATCTGTCGTTTCAGATCCTCAACAAGAGAGTGCCGCAGAACCCCAAGTATAAGAATGTCAAGTCTAAGCTGGACACGGGTAAGAGGGAATAAGAACTCGATAAACCCGCGTTTAACTCGTAATTCTTACCTCCCCCTCCCCTCCTTACGCATGGCAGAACTATGTTCACGGGCTAAAATGTTAATGTGCGATGCCTTCTTAGCCATGGCGAGAGAGGGCTATGGGAGTGTTGGTGTAGATTTCGAGTGCTCGTCCGTTGAATGAGCGCACACTCCAGTGGTTTATTGCGTGGTCAAATTCGCCTCAAGTTATATTTTTAATAATTGGTGGTCATGAAAAAAAATCGTATCTATGCAATTGATAAGAGTTTGCGTTTGTAGAAACCCTCGCTGGATCAATTTAAACAAGTGACAGTTACACCGTTTTTTTTTAAATAAAATTATTTCTCCCTCAAGACTTAATTGCGCAAGTGATAATTGTTGCATGTTACACGAATCGATGCTCTCTTTGATATGCGTACGGTATTCTGTCTGGGTTATAAGACGAACTTATAGCCCTTATATTTTAAAACAAAAGTCTGTGGACGAGTCTTATAAACCGTTAGGTGTGTATGTGTGCCAGTCATATATCTCCTGCAAGTAATAATAACTAACACCTGGGTGTGTGAGAGCCTTCCACACTTCACGTTGTGGCCTTAAAGGTGCACCTAGCCTGGCACAAGAGCCGAGGTGATGCCACCGCTACTTGGTGGCGAATGGCGGTTGTTGTTGTGGCAATGTTTGTAAAACGTATTGACACGGGACGCAACATTTGAGGTGTTTTCTTTTAGAAGCGCAAACCTGTCAACCCACACGGTTTACTCCGTAGTCTTTGTACAGGTAAATTGAGTTTTCAGGTCCATAAGGCGTCCAGTCTCTTCAATACGGGCATTTAAAAAAAAATGTGTGTGTTTCTCCCTTGTGATGAGACTTTGTAGGATGAACGTTGAGATTTATAAGGGCACGGGGTGACCAATAAGGTCTGAATTGGTCTGTAATAAGGTAGAGCACTGATAAGGGGTTGACAGGTATGGGAAGCGTCTTACAATCTGGAGAATACGGTAAACGTTTAGAGAACACGGGCTTAATTGGAAACAATTGATTTTGTGTTATCTCTTCACAGACTGCCTTGCAATTAACTCAATACTGTAAATGTACTTGTACAATAATGTGATGATGTGCTTAATTCACTTAATTTCCAAAGCGTATGGTTTGCACAAATGAGCCGCAATGTGGGTTTTTTGCCAAATATCCCTCAATCATCGTTCCAAGCGGTTTCACTTTCAACCACACTGCAGTGATATCGTTGCACAATGTGTTTTAGGTGTTGCATTCTATTGCTGCGATACAAACGTTCTGACAAAGTGTGCTCTTACATTTTAATATTAATGGTAAAATGCTCATTGGCATATTGTGTATTGACATACTGTATATGCACAACTAAAGTAATCACGATATTGTGTGATACCCAAATGTGAGTCTTCACTGCCCCTTTGCTCTCATCTCTAAGGTCCATTGCCTCAAGCGTTAACCGATTATACATCTTTATGTATGCCCAGCTACCCTATTCAGCAGCTAGGAATCATGTCGAGAGTAGTGAGTTATATTTTTGTTTTAACAGATGACCGAGTTCATTAAATGCACAGTGGTGCTTGACACTTAACTGCCTCGAGGATCCGTTAGTGGAGTGTGCGTGGAGGAGTGTGCACGTGTGTACTGGGCACAGCTACACTATGCTACGATCAATAATAATAATGCAGTATAGTACCGTATACTCCGAAATTTATAAGACTCTTCAGAGTAAGGTGCACCTGAAATGTGTGCCCGGTGTTATACAAATTACACAAATCTGGTCACACACACCTCGTGCACGCCCAACCGTTTCTTTAAAAAATACGGTAATGATTTACATTATAAAGCATCTACCTTATTTCTGTACGTTATTAATCTGTACTCAATTTTCATATCTGGGGCTCGTAATGCGTAGAAAATTACATCTGTGTATAACCTTTTGTCAATCCACTGTTGAATGAGAGGCTTCCCTTACTACACCTTGCACACCATGAAGGCTATTTGACTCATACTTCACCACGCTGGTCAATACGGGTTGATGGTGGGAGGGAGTGCAGAACACAGTGAATGTTGCTACACTCCTCTCCTGCCCGGTGGTCACCCAACCAAGCACCATCCAGCCTCAAGCCTGCTTATCTTACAAGATCTTAAGAAATCGCGTGCATTTCATCTCGCCGCGGGGAGGCCCTCATCCAGCAGCAGATAGACACAAGGGCCGTGCATGTACATGTACTGTATTTAAGTAAGCGTGCACAGATTCTACGGAAGACTGACTATAATTGTCTGACATAATTGTCAGTCTTCTGGGAACCACAGTGGCGAGATGTTAACTCTCTCGCCTGGTATACAAGAGGTCATGGATTCGATCCCGACGCTGACGCATGTATATTTGGAGTTTGCATGTCTCTGTCCCTGTAGTCGCAGAGATTTTTGTCCGAGTCCTGTTTTTCCCCTCCACATTTAGAATCGACATGCATTTAGAAAATTTGGCTGCTATATATTTCCATGTGATAAGCCACTTCGTTGAGCTATCATTTGTGGCCAGGTCGCTTCTAAAAAAGAGCTATATAGCTCAGTGGGCCTTATCTTGTAAAATAAAATAAAAATGTTTGTAGTTTTTTTATTATTGTAATATCTGGCAGTGTAGAAAAGGTAGGCTTTGAGAAAGGTCTTGAAACAGAGCAGCAACATTCAGCATTGTGGAGAATATAGTGTAGAGAATTACAGACATAGAAGGGGAAGATGCAATCTCACTCCCCCCCCCCCCCTCAAGCAAAGCTTGACTGTGTTATTATGAGGCCATGGTTACTGGAAGGCAGGGAAAAAAGTATATGAGGGCAAAATGAGAGAAGTGAGTGAAAAGAGTTTTAATATAAGTAACTTTTTGACAAATCAGATTAAATGCAGCACTTAGCGATGAGCTATATTCTTCTTTATACATCAGCAAACCTCCACCAAATATCGAATGGAAAGGTACATTGCCCAACACCTAAAATGGATGCAATTTGATTTCATGTCATTGCCATTATACAATATACGATATGTTTGAGTGTAAATTATTTGGGACATTGAAACCATCCATAAGTATATCCGACTTCTAATGTTTTGGTTAGTAGTGAACAGTTACATCATGTACAAGAATGTTTTGTAAACACAATCATGCTTATTCGCTTTGTTTTATTTGTATTAATTTCAGGAAGCAGCCTCACCAAGTATATGGAGAGATTGGAAGATATGAGGACCAGTAAGTCATACACCACAGTGTACAGATTATTATTGCTGATTAAATACTGCCTACAAACGTGGGTTTCAGAGTTACAGAATCCACAGATATCCATAATTTTGCTCATATGATGTTGTGTTTGTTATGTATTGTAATTTATTGTGTTTATTACGTGTTGGGTGATTCCTGTACCAACTACACCAACAGCAGTCCCGGCAGTCCTGCTAGCTGGCCTTTCCTTCCTCACCAGCTGCCAAATCCACTCCTTTAGGTTACTACACGTGGTAATGTGATGTTATAGGTCTCGCCAGCCGGAAATAGTACCTGCCTTCAAAGAGGACTAAGATGACCAACCTGGCAACCACAATGTGCAGGATTTGGTGGGACTGCTACGCAGTTGCAGGCTAAGGACTCTCCAGGAGTGGACAGGACTTAAGATCATCAGTGTCTTGTGAGATGTCAGTGGTTGCTATGGTTAATACATATGGCTTTGGAGAAGGATGCTGAGTGGTCTTAAGTGTTCATCTGGCAGCAAGTGCCATTCATGACATGATTCGAAGTTGTGAACTTGGGGGAAGACTTTGTAAGTATTCCACTTCCTACAAGTAATTCAACTACAGCGAAGACAGTGGCATAATGGAAGCCTCTGCTGATCATAGATCAATTGACCAAGAACCCATTTCAGCCGTTGGCCACCTGTGACTTGCGCTACCTGACACTGAAGACACACCTGGTAATTGTGAAAACACATCGCAGCAGCCGATAACTTACGATCTTTGGGTAGGGGAGTTACAGGCTATCTTGTGTGCTCCACCTTATTTGGAATTTTATCAAGATAGAGTAGTCCAGGGAGTTCCGTACTACACTCACTATTCTATGTGTTGGCTTTGGCGGGTGCTACTTGTCAGTGATGGATGTCGTTGCTGCCAAGCATTACTGAAATGTATGGTTTAGCACATACAGTGAGGGAAAAAAAGTATTTGATCCCCTGCTGATTTTGTACGTTTGCCCACTGAGAAAAGAAATGATCAGTCTATAATTTTAATGGTAGCTTTATTTGAACAGTGAGAGACAGAATAACAATAACAAAATCCAGAAAAACGCATGTCAAAAATTTTATAAATTGATTTGCATTTTAATGAGGGAAATACGTATTTGACCCCCTCTCAATCAGAAAGATTTCTGGCTCCCAGGTGTCTTTTTATACAGGTAACGAGCTGAAATTAGTAGCACACTCTTAAAGGGAGTGATCCTAATCTCAGCTTGTTACCTGTATAAAATACACCTGTCCACAAGCAATCAATCAGATTCCAAACTCTTCACCATGGCCAAGACCAAAGAGCTCTCCAGTGATGTCAGGGACAAGATTGTAGACCTACACAAGGCTGGAATGGGCTACAAGACCATTGTCAAGCAGCTTGGTGAGAAGGTGACAACAGTTGGTGCGATTATTCGCAAATGGAAGAAACACAAAATAACTGTCAATCTCCCTCGGCCTGGGGCAGCTGGGACCATAGTCACCAAGAAAACAATTGGTAACACACTACGCCGTGAAGGACTGAAATCCTGCAGCGCCCGCAAGGTCCCCCTGCTCAAGAAAGCACATATACATGCCCGTCTAAAGTTTGCCAATGAACATCTGAATGATTCAGAGGACAACTGGGTGAAAGTGTTGTGGTCAGATGAGACCAAAATGGAGCTCTTTGGCATCAACTGAACTCGCCGTGTTTGGAGGAGAAGGAATGCTGCCTATAACCCCAAGAACACCATCCCCACCGTCAAACATGGAGGTGGAAACATTATGTTTTGGGGGTGTTTTTCTGCTAAGGGAACAGGACAACTTCACCGCATCAAAGGGACGATGGACGGGGCCATGTACCGTCAAATCTTGGGTGATAACCTCCTTCCCTCAGCCAGGACATTGAAAATGGGTCGTGGATGGGTATTCCAACATGACAATGACCCAAAACACACGGCCAAGGCAACAAAGGAGTGGTTCAAGAAGTAGCACATTAAGGTCCTGGAGTGGCCTAGCCAGTCTCCAGACCTTAATCCCATAAAATCTGTGGAGGGAGCTGAAGGTTCGAGTTGCCAAACGTCAGCCTCGAAACCTTAATGACTTGGAGAAGATCTGCAAAGAGGAGTGAGACAAAATCCCTCCTCAGATGTGTGCAAACCTGGTAGCCAACCACAAAAAAAGTCTGACCTCTGTGATTGTGAACAAGGGTTTTGCCACCAAGTACTAAGTCATGTTGTGCAGAGGGATCAAATACTTATTTCCCTCATTAAAATGCAAATCAATTTATAACATTTTTGACATGCGTTTTTCTGGATTTTGTTGTTGTTATTCTGTCTCTCACTGTTCAAATAAACCTACCATTAAAATTATAGACTGATCATTTATTTGTCAGTGGGCAAACGTACAAAATCAGCAGGGGATCAAATACTTTTTTCCCTCTGTACATAGAGACAACATTTTGTGGTACTTTTCATCATCCACAAGACTAACAACTCTCTATGGAGCACTCCATGAGTTTCTGTACGTGAGATAAATAGGGACAGAAGGGGCCCATATATTCCTGCAGGAGTGTTGGATGTCCCTTATAATAATCTGAACCGTATTTCAGGAACAATAAGATGAAAAGGTAATTGGACTCCCAAGGGTAAAAAGGAAGGATTACCTGACTAATCAAATTGTGCATGGTTGAACCTCGTCATCACTTACAAGTATAAAGGGGGGTGTGAGTTGGCCCAAAAATCGTATCTCTGTTATTCCTGGATACACACAGATAACTTGCGTGTCAGCGATTCATGAGGATACTGCCAAGACCTTCAACGGTTCATATTTACTTTTGTACGAAACTTACATTTAGACATTGTCAGTTTTCTCCTTCAAGTTTAGGGTTTATTTATAATATGATAGCATGGTGGGTAGTATTATGTGATTGATAACAAACGCCTTCATTTTACGTTTGCGGTCAAGTTTTTTCTTGTGATAATGATGTATTTAAATATTCAGTGTTTGTCGTGCAGATTATCGTTACTGCCCTGGCGAGCTTTTCAAAAGAATGAAGATCACAACATTTGCACAGATTGTGAGTCAAAAGTATATTGCCATTTCACACGAAATGTGTAATTTTATTTCGTTCAAATTCAGTGTAATATATATTTTTGTGCTCAAATGTAAATGTTTCCTTTTTTTATATAAATATATTTTTTAAATCGGCTTTTAATTATAACTTTACTTACATTTTACCTTCTGTTATCAGGGTTTGAAACAATGAGATTTTACCCACTTGATTATTCCTGCAGGTTCTGCAAGTTGCTTCACTTACTGAAGATCCCACATTGGGGGAGATCATGCAAATGGAAGGTAAAATATACATGTCGATAGGCGTAATATCATGCCTCGATTCCTTATTTAAATAACTTTTTAGACTCATGATTCTTGTAATGAATTGAGCGTGTAAAAAATATTTATTTTAAACTCGTATATGTTGTATTTTATTGTATAATGTAATGCAGCCACTATAGGTGCAAAGTTCACAATGTTTAATATAATAATTGATTGTCGGGTTGAATCTCAAGACTAAATTGTGACAATTTATCGAATAGGCACATTGTTACATGCCTACATGTTGGATTTCAAATTACATGCACCAATTAAACGTAGTTAAAATTATTTCCACATGAATCTTCATTGCTGTATAGTCTTTTACTTAGTGCCGTGTTGCAGTGCTATTTGTGGTTCTGGAATGTGATGAAGGAGGTTGACTTTGCCTGGTTTTTGTGGGCCTTGTTCTCAGGGCCGTCGTGCCCTCAGACAGACCGCCTCGACACGCCGAGCGGAGGCGACGCGGTTGTGGCGACTGCTCGCTCCACACTACAGAGGTCAGCTTTTGCCTGCGCCCTCTGGGTGTGCCCACACTAGCCCACGTCAATAGAGGCTCTTGTTACGAATCAAGTGTTAGTAGTTGTAGTGTTGGATTTTGTAATAGGGTCAAGAGGTCACCATGGTCAATGCTATTGATGCTACAACACCACATCATCGCCATGCTCCTGATAGACCTTGCATTTGTTGCAGATTTGAAATCTGACCGTGGCAGTCTGCTCTTAAAGTTTTCTACCATCTGGCTTTGTAGGTCTTTCCCTTGCTCACTGTCCACTGGGTGCCACTGTATTATCTATTTCGGTAAATCTGCCCTCCTCCATCCTGCATATGTGCCATCCATCGCAACTTCCTTTTACTGCACCTCAGGAGTTAAATTCATATTGTAGCAATTTTGTACAAATTTTTGCAAAGGTACCCAGTAGAATGTATAGCTTCCAGAAAATACTAACACAGCCCTTCAGGCACAAACAAAAGATATGCGCCCATGCATATATATACGACACGCGGTTCCATAAATGAACAGTGTAGAAATTCAGAGTGGTCATCGACTCAAGCTGATGGGCCCTGTGTGGTGGTGGGATTCACAGTGTGATCAGTGGGCTCGGGGAGATGGACCTGACAGGGACGAACGGCTCCGCAGAGAAGCAGCAGCCACTGTCGCTGTCTCGACAGCAGAAGCGCAGTGAGGCTTCCAAAGATCAACCCTACCCTGACTGCCCGTACCTGCTGATGGACCTGCGTGACAGAGATGCCTACGAGCAGTGTCACATCATAGGCGGTGAGCAGCGTTGTGCTTCGTGTACCTCATTAGCGGGAGCTTGCTGTCTATAATACGATTTATGCGTCCAATGTCCAGGCTCCTCTTTGTCCAATTGTCAGGCTCTTGTTGAAAAATGGATTCATCTTGATGTCCCCTGCTGGCTGTGAACTCTAGTTAGGCATTTCTTTTGTTCTGATATCCAATGCCAAAGTTACCAGTCCTCTCATCTAATCACTTGCCTACTTGTGCAATGAAGTCACCCATTATTATGGTATAGAGTGTTTTGCTCTCATTTGGACAATGTACATGGAGGAGCCCAAATGCAGAAAAGGTTAAAATAAAATGTGTGGGCAGTGACTTGGCCAAGCGGAGGGAATGCATTCGCCCCTTGTTAGTTCACGGTTCAACCCAGCGGCCACCCTGGTTATACTGCGAGTGTATTAACTGCCTCACAGTGGACATGACAGTTCCCGTGATGTCATTTGCAAGTGTAGGCTATTGTGTCATGGCATCATGCTCCAAAGTTGCCAAATTACACTGTTGGAAAATTTTCCTGGGTAAACCAGTATTTTGATCATGGAACCTCCCTTGCCAGTATCAAAATATAAGAATAGGTTTTACCCTTTCTGGCAATAAAACAGGTGTTAAGATGTTAAAACACCAAACTGAAACCTTTTTCAAGGAATCATGTTTGGTGTTTTAAGACCTTAACACCTGCTTTATTGCCAGAAAGAGTATAACCTATTCCCATAGTATTTTGATGATGATAATCATTCTCATGGGAAACCCCATAATGTCAAGGATGTTACTGCCAAAATAAATTTTAAGACAGGATTTGACAAAAGGCGGGGGCAATCCTACTTGCACGTAAATATTTTTTAGAGAAAATAAAGTTAATGAAATATTAATGAAACCAGACCGTTAACATAAAAAATCGAATTCGTGAAGTTGGAGCATTTAGCTTCATTATAAAAAACAGATTTACATCTCAAGAGAAAAAATATTATAAACAGGATGTCACCACTATACATCATGAAATAATAACTAGCATTGTAATGGATAATACATCTACATTTGGGAAAGAAGACAATACACAGAACTCTGTAAAATATTTTGTAAAATAATTACATTAAAAAAATAGAACACAACAGGAAAGTAACGATGTTATAATAATGGGAGTGTGAAAGCAAATGAATTTGAGCATAGGTAAATGACAAGTAGGACTTTCATGAACCATGAGGCTTTATGGAACCTCAAATCTAGTGACAGAATTGTATGCAGTGCCATGTGACTGGTTCTTTGAGCGATGACAGATGGACTGAAAGCCGTGGCAACGTGTGGCTGTTGCCTGTACAGCTTGAGCTCTCATGAAAAATACAGCAAGTTGTTAGGCGCGCTTTTCACAACGCCGTATGTGTGTGTTTATATTGTTTGCCCTCTGCCTCCTGCCATTTCAGCGGCCAGCTACCCAAGTGCCATGCTGTCCCGGAGTTTTAATCAATACACCAAGGAGATGCTTGAATATGTATCCTTTTGTTGCTATGCAAAGTCCACATTGAGCGGGCCCTTTCGTAGTGGTCATTAAAGCCCCTAAAATCTATTTACAATGTGTGCCTTGTGTGTACCTTTTTTTCTTTCATCGCCATTTTATAACAAAATAATTAAATAAACTAACTCAAATATCACGTGATTATTGACTACAAATTTGCAGTTAAGCGCTCAACAACACAACCGTTTATCATTGCATCGATCACGAATATATTACTGCATACCTGTCAACCCATACGGTTTACTTGTATTCTTATACAGGGAAATTGAGTTTTCAGGTCCTTTCGGCATACCGCCGTTTCAATAGGGGCAAACTTTTTTGTAGGATGAACTTTGACATAAGGGCACGGGGGTGACCAATACTATCTGAATTAGTTTGTAATAAGGTAGGCACTATACTCTTTGGTTCTTTAGGTACAGTCACGTAGGTATAAAATAAATCGCGACGTTTTGATCGCAACACAGTTACAACTGCTCTCTCGCTGGTTCAACAGTTCCACTGCTGGATTATATTTTTTCCGCCTGAGGACGACCGCTTGTGTCGCGATTGAAATGGCGTGATTTATTTTATACCTACGTGACTTTACCGAAAGAACCAAAGAGTATGGATTCCTGCAGTCACGAAAGCGTCAAATCAAGTTAGGCACTGATAAGGGGTTGACAGGTATGTAACTGTATCACTTAATACAGAGTGTTAAATGTGTGTTTTTAGAAGACACCTCTAACCTTAAATGCATGTCTGTCTGTGGGAGTTATTTCACCACCTTCAAATCAGAAACCATAGCCATAAATATATAGGGGACCCATTAAGTGTTGTGTGGCTTGTTAAAACGAAGTAATAATATTAAAAAACAGGCAAGTAGTGACTTGCAGTTTCCTTAAACGTTTTCTTTCCAGAAAAATGCTACGGGAAAAATCATCATTGTTTATGATGAAGATGAGAGGATTGCGGCGGTGGCAGCCACGACAATGTGTGAAAGAGGTTTTGAAAATCTCTACGTTCTTTCCGGAGGTGAGGCTTCGCTACAATTCATTTTTTACTCAAACGTAAAAAAAAATGCTCAAAGCTGCTTTGAGGTTATCATTTCGAACAAGTTTAGGTGTAGATTTAAACTGCTTTGTACATGAATGTTTAATCGGAATTGGTTTCGCCTAACCGGTTTATTTTCTTTCATTTAATAGGTGTTGCTGATATCAAACAAAAACATGCAGCCAATTTTTTTGACGATTCTCTTGTGTGGTCATGCCCCTATGCTTACCAGCATGCTATAGCAATGTCACAGTGGCGTGACTGCCATACTTGTTATCTCACAATTGTGTAAGGTGAACAAATTTTCAACGTATGTAGCCAATCACGGTAATTGGAGATGTGGGGGGGGGGAACAGACTAATCTTTAGATGTAAAATATGGATATATGTACTAATTTTACTCTAAACATTGCCTTAAACAAGTCATGTTTTAGATGGCCTATGAATACCACATTGGAAGGGTTGTGGCAGGGTGGCGCAGTGGAACCCTTGTGCTTCTCAGCCTTGCTTTGTAAACATGTGCAGCCCTTTTGCCATGCCACTGTAGGATGACCACCTCCATATGGTGTGCAGCTCATGGGGCTTACTTGGTTATTTGACTACGCTTCAGCATGTTGGTGAGTGCGGGTTTGGTAAAACGGTGGAGCATAGATGTTGAAGTTTAGTCTAATGCAGGGGTGGGCAAATTGTTTGACTCGCGGGCCACAATGGGTTCTAAAATTTGACAGAGGGGCCGGGCCAGGAACAGATGGATGGAGTGTTTGTGTGAACGAATATAAATGACATGTAAAAATCATTACATGAAAGGATTTGGCCTTTAACAGGTAGCAAAGCATTTATTTGCAAGGCAATTTAACAAATTGCACGAACAAGAAATAATACAAAAACATATTTTGATTTAAAGCTTTCGTGACTGCAGGGATTCATATTCTTGGTTCTTTCGGTAAAGTCACGTAGAAGGGAAACAATAAAATAATAAAAATAGAAAACAATAAAATTCTCACGACGTTTCGACTGCAACACAAGCAATCATTATCAGGTGTGAAACCACAACAAGAACATTTTTCAAATTTTCTTGTTGTGGTTTTAAAATTTTCTTGTTGTGGTTTTCACACCTGATGATGATTGCTTGTGTTGCAGTCGAAACGTCGTGAGAATTTTATTGTTTTTTTATTTTTATTATTTTGTTGTTTCCCTTCTACGTGACTTTACCGAAAGAACCAAGAATATAATTCAAAAACATGTCCTAACTCCCGGTCAAAGTGCGCCATCTAATGGGGAAATGGGGGCATTACAGGAGAAAGGTAAAATTTAATTTAATTTAATAATAATAATATTTGGACAAGTTCGGCGGACCGGATTAAAAAGCCCAACGGGCCGTATACGGCCCTAAGGCCATACTTTGCCCATATCTGGTCTAACGTAACAGTTAAGTTTGCTGCACTGCCCCCTGCTGACAACGAAAAGCAAGCCTATTACACACTTTTATGCATGCTGGTCGCCCATCCAAGCACTATCCAAGGCTCTCAGGCATGCTTATCTTCCGAGATATTACAAAATTGGGTGCATTCCGGAGGATTTAGTCACAGACACGTCTCCCTTAGGTAACGAACCTTGGTTCCCCTTTCACTTTTCTCCCCGTCACAGGTCTAAAGGTGCTAGCCCAGAAGTTTCCTACAGGCCTGACGACCGGCTCCCTTCCGCCCCAACTGCTGGCGCCACCCAACCGGAAAGCGAGACCGTCCCGCCCCTCCAATTCCTCCACTTCCCCGGTGACCCCTGTCGTGCCGGACAGCCCAGTGTCTGCTGGAAACAAGCAGCGCTTTGGATACGATGAACTGGAGCGCATCCGACACTACCTGGATGACGGCTTCACCTTGTCCGACACGAGCAGTAAGTCTCTTGCGTATTTTACGTTAATTGTTAGGCTTACGGTATTTTTACAGAAATAATGAGAATAAATGGAGGCTCCTGAGCCTCTACTTCAACAGTTGTAGGGACTCAACAGCACGGATAGCTGGGGGACAATGGTAGTTCTAGACAATGGGGGTATTAGAGGAGAATGAGTGACCTATCAATAAGCAAAGATTGACTAGAGGCATCAAAATAACCTCCTCTGATCTCTGCACCTGGTCGGTTCACAGTGATGACGTGATCCTGCTCTATTTAAGACCGGAAGCAGGTGGATTGCTTTACTACGATTGCAAATCGCCCGATGATGCTGGATGTAATTACCAGCGAAATGTCGCAGTACTCAAATTGCAAATGTTGTCGATTTACTCTCCAACACACCGGTGGGCTGTAGTAGTTTACTAATTGGCGCATTGTTTACGTGACAAACCTTACTGGCTGTGTCGGGTGGAGGAGGGTTATGACAAATTAATATTTACGCGATCTAACCCAAAAACTTTTATCATGAGATGAGATGAGTCTTACATTCCTATTCGGGATTGTCCAAAACTGCATTTAAAAATGCACCTCCAGTTCCATTCCAAATTGCAGTTTGTCAGGACCAACATCACAAATTAAATATGCACCTGGCTTCAGTAATGTATTTCTGGTCACGAAAGACCTAGCTATCACATTGAACTTTACTGTGGTTAAGACATGCTTTAATTGTATTAAAAAAAATAATTGTGAAATATTTTAAAGCCATTCATGTTACGTTAACTAAAAAAAATACTGTCAAAAGAGTTCAGAATAACTCGTCACCCTGCAAGGGAAAGAAATATCCATACAAAATAAAACTCATGTTTTATGTTAGCATTGTCTTTAATTTACAAAGCTTAGCAGCGTTGCAATATTTGACATTCTAAATGGAGTGTTTTAAATGTGGGGAGAAATCAAAGTACTCTTGTAAAACATGTTGTCATGGGAAGGACACTCAAATCAACAAACAGGCTATGAATGTTAGACATTTTATTTTAGCTGGAGGAACCCAATGAGCTACAAAGCTCTTTTTCACAGGTGTTCAGCCTAATATGGTGGGAAATTTGATTTATTGGGGTTCTTACACAGCTGTTATTGCTGTAGTTACTCAATCTAGGCCCGCTGGAAAACCTAGCAGAGTTAAATGCGCTAGTTGAAGTGGCGTGTTGGTGAAGCTGTGGGTGACCGTTTTCGTGGCGTGTGTGCGTGCTTGCAGGCCAGTTCAGTCGCGCATCCACCTCAAGGTCCCTGGGCAGCGCCACCTCCTCCAAGGCCCCCTCGACGGCCGGCAGTATCAGCGCACGGTCACTGATCAGCTCTGCGGCCACCGTCAAGCCGTGGAAGTGACGGCGCCTGCTCAATATGCCAGGCGGTGGACACACCATGTACATGTCTGTCCTCTGCTGCATGTGGGCCTCCACCCCTTGCAAATATTGGGGTTATTTGACCATACTTTTATCACGCCGGTCAGTGCCGGTTCATGAAGGTGGGAAGCTTAATTGTGGGAGCATTGTACGGCATAGCAGTGGATTTTGCTGCTTTGTCCTCTTCTGCCCATATTGTAGCCCCATAGCAGCGTGTAACACCCAGTTCATGCGTGTTGGTCACCCAAGCACTCTTCAGGCGCCTGCTTAGCTTCCATGGTCTGATGAGGTTGGATGTATTCTGGGTGATTTAAGCAAAGAACGCCACGCCGCGCCAGTATTGACGCTGAATTTACATTTTAGGCTATTCTGTGTTGAGCAAGGTCGCTAACAAGCCTCAACTGCACCACAGCCTCCAGGTGGAAGGCCTGCCCAACCAATTGCCAGCTGAAAATAAAGCCTCTTGGCACTGTGACAGTGCTCGGAATGAGTTTTTAATAAATACAAGTACACGTTGGGCAGTGGTCATTATAAAATGCTTTTTTTACAGATCAGTATGTAGTATAAGGTTTCCATTTCACTTTTTGTTCAAATAATTATTTGTTTGTTTCAAAATTATTTGTGGATTTGATGAAGGATACAAAGTTAATGTCCTTTGAGATTTGATATGGCTTCAAATTTATGTCTTTCCAAAACAATAATTTGTCCTACTCGTAGCCAGGATAGAAATGTACGTCCTTTATATAGATTTTAAATGTGCACATTCAGATGCAGTGAATAAGCTAAATATGATGCAATTCATCCAATTATAGAAACTTCTAATAAGGAAGTATACTGTAAATAGCATGCTTAAATCACAGTGCACGACTTCAATAGGCCTCATAAATAATTCCATTCTCAGAATTGGAAGTTTCTCGAGCTATAGGTGTGAAAATTGGGCAATTTTGATTCGAATAAGATATTTCTCAGTTTTAATATTACTCGTAGCGTTGTCAAGAGTGCCCAGGAGACAGGCTCAAGGTTCCATGCTCTTTCTTGATAGAGGTTGCTGGAGTTTAAGCCAATTCTGGCCCATGGTGCTGTGATGTGATTTTGCAATTGTCGTGTTTGCTGTATTTTGTATGGTGAAAATGTCATTACATTCCTTGCAACGGTTGGCTGCTGAAGATCAGTGTCGGGGCTGAATAATTTGCCTTCTTCATCACTCACATGCCAGTTTCAGTGCTTCAAGTGATTTTGTAAAAGTGGTTTTGGTAAATGTTGCAACAACAAAAAAGCCCACAGGTACAAACAGGGTCATTGTCTCTGAATGTGTGGCCTAACCATGGTACACAAGTCAGCAGTGTTTTTAATTTATATGTGTATGTTGTGGCAGATGTACCATTATTTTATTAATGGTTTTTCATTCCTCCCCCGGACACATGAAGGCTGTTTACAGAATTATCCTCTATTACAATTCACACCAATTCCAACCGCACGACATGTTCATGCTGTTGTATTGGTCAGACCACTAATTAAACTGCTTGGCTGTATGGTGTCAGTAAAGTCATAGGCATTGGTTGAAATTTTATTCACAGTTGTGGACACATTCCTTGCTGTGATTTTAATGCATCACACAAAGTACTTGCTCCATGACTGTGGACTGTACAAATATTTCGTGTTGTAGTTAAAGTCCTGAAAGTGTGAAATGTTCACGCTGATAGATTTTGACTCAACTAGATGACAGGATGTGTCCATTCTGACTCAACCCAGTATGAAATTTACAGAATTCCACTCTGCAGCACACCACAGCGTAACAAGAGCCACGTTTGTGTTGGCCCGGCTCGGGGTCTAATTTTATCCGCAAAGAGCGTGTGACTAATTGTAAAGTGTATAGTATGTGGCCGGGTGCCGAGTTTTGTACAAATGCAAATTGTTTTGATGTCCACACGATGAACAAGCAGGTCGCGCAATGTGAATGAGTGATTTTTTCGGTTTTTGTTTTTATATTTTAACGATTAATGCGTGGTGTAAAGAATAAATTGATTTTGTGCGTATTTAAAGTGTTTTGTTCTGGCATTCATTGTGTTTTTTATCTTTAGTTCAATACCCTGACTGGTTGTAAGCTCAGGGTGTTGTTAGGCATTGTGCTTTAGACAAGATGGATCCAAAAAACAAACAGATCTAGTTAGGCATTCACGTGTCTCCATTCACGTGTCTTTGTGAGTTGACGCTTCATTCATAATAGAACAACTAAAGAAACCTTCATTCGGGCTCTAGAGTGATGTATTCTAAATATAACAGCCAAGAAGCCTGGGTGGTTAAGAGGTTAAGAGTGCCTAGCTGTCACTGCTGAAAACCAGGGTTAAAATTTAGGCAACTACTTGTGATTAAGAACTGCTTTTGTGTGGACCCAACCATGCCGATTAGCACAGTTGGCTCCGTACATTGCTCAAGTTTAACATGCATACAAACCAGGCTTTCAAGTGTAGTGAGTTTATATCTTCAGCCTGGTCACCAGTGACTCCACAAAAGGACATTACATTAAATTGGTTCTGCACCAAGTTGGCTAAATTCCAGCTGGGAGAATGAAAGTAATCGGTTTGATTGTCATGTGATGAACACTGCTCTGTAACAGGAGGTTGGGAAAGTGCTACCATCTACTGAGTGAATGAGAGGTCACTTAGGATTTCACATGTTCTGTTATATTTGCTTCAGTGAGCCGTTTTCTAACAGAGTAACACTGTTCTGCAAAATATCCGAATGGATACTTAATCCGATTACATGAAAAGGAAAAAAAAACGTATCGCAGTCGCACCACTGACATCATCAGAGTGCATCTGAAATTCTAATATTCTCTCACTTATGGTGCTTCAAACTTCGTCAAGAGCCCAGGCTAGAGTAAGTGTGTATTTTACCACAGCTGTTATTGCTTTGGATTGCATCCTCTTAAGTAGTTTACTTAAGGGATTGGTGGTGCAAATGTTTAACTTTGTGAGATTTAAACTAATTCATTGACCCTATCGCTAATAAACTTTGTGTACATTTAGGCATTCGGTACAATACATCCACAAATAAATATATTGTTTAAATGTCAACATTGTACTAGACCACACTGGCTTGCAATGGTAGTTTAAACATTGATCTTGTATGTACTGTATTAGGCGTCTTTATTAAATTTGTATTGCAATGTATCGCCTTGAGTTTGATTAGGATTAATAATTATTGATCGAGTATATTAAAGCAAAATATTGGTAATAATTTTAGAGGCCTGGGTTGATTAATAGATACACACATTGCAGTTCCTGTAACTTGATAGCTAAAATAGCTTCTATTTTAAAGCAAGCTTCTACCCAAAATATATAGATACCTTCCCTGTATTCTGGGCTGTCTAACATGAGCTTAAATATTTGTCAGTGACAAAACCAATACATTCACAGGGACCCTGCTGCATATCTCTGCTGTCATTGTACTGATTATCAATACATATGAAAGTGATGTCACTTCAGTGTTATAATGACCTTATTAGAACTTAGTCTGTTTTAAATTAACAAATGTTTACATGGATGGCCGCCGGCCTAGGATTCACGGCAGAGTTACGTACATAATAAAAGTTCCATTTTGGGTTGAGTCTTTAACAACGTTTTAAACTCATGTTCAACAATCCAGAAAACAACCGGAGTATGTATCTAAGACAGGACTTATTTATTGAAATACTATTGTATGTTGAACGTCTTTCGCACCGTATGTACAGTGAGGGAAAAAAGTATTTGATCCCCTGCTGATTTTGTACGTTTGCCCACTGACAAAGAAATGATCAGTCTATAATGTTAATGGAAGGTTCATTTGAACAGTGAGAGATAGAATAACAACAACAAATTCCAGAAAAACGCATGTCAAAAATGTTATAAATTGATTTGCATTTTAATGAGGGAAATAAGTATTTGACCCCCTCTCAATCAGAAAGATTTCTGGCTCCCAGGTGTCTTTTATACAGGTAACGAGCTGAAATCAGGAGCACACTCTTAAAGGGAGTGCTCCTAATCTCAGCTTGTTACCTGTATAAAAGACACCTGTCCACAAGCAATCAGATTCCAAACTTTCCACCATGGCCAAGACCAAAGAGCTCTCCAAGGATGTCAAGGACAAGATTGTAGACCTACACAAGGCTGGAATGGGCTACAAGACCATTGTCAAGCAGCTTGGTGAGAAGGTGACAACAGTTGGTGCGATTATTCGCAAATGCAAGAAACACAAAATAACTGTCAATCTCCCTCGGCCTGGGGTTCCATGCAGGATCTCACCTCGTGGAGTTGCAATGATCATGAGAACGGTGAGGAAGCAGCCCAGAACTACACGGGAGGATCTTGTCAATGATCTCAAGGCAGCTGGGACCATAGTCACCAAGAAAACAATTGGTAACACTATGCCGTGAAGGACTGAAATCCTGCAGCGCCCGCAAGGTCCCCCTGCTCAAGAAAGCACATATACATGCCCGTCTGAAGTTTGCCAATGAACATCTGAATGATTCAGAGGACAACTGGGTGAAAGTGTTGTCGTCAGATGAGACCAAAATGGAGCTCTTTGGCATCAACTCAACTCGCCGTGTTTGGAGGAGGAATGCTGCCTATGACCCCAAGAACACCATCCCCACCGTCAAATATGGAGGTAGAAACATCATGCTTTGGGGGTGTTTTTCTGCTAAGGGGACAGGACAACTTCACCGCATCAAAGGGACAATGGACGGGGCCATGTACCGTCAATTCTTGGGTGAGAACCTCCTTCCCTCAGCCACGGCATTGAAAATGGGTCGTGGATGGGAATTCCAGCATTACAATGACCCAAAACACACGGCCAAGGCAACAACGGAGTGGCTCAAGAAAAAGCATATTAAGGTCCTGGAGTGGCCTAGCCAGTCTCCAGACCTTATTCCCATAGAAAATCTGTGGAGGGAGCTGAAGGTTCGAGTTGCCAAACATCAGCCTCGAAACCTTAATGACTTGGAGAAGATCTGCAAAGAGGAGTGGACAAAATCCCTCCTGAGATGTGTGCAAACCTGGTGGCCAACTACAAGAAACGTGTGACCTCTGTGATTGCCAACAAGGGTTTTGCCACCAAGTACTAATGTAATGTTTTGCAGAGGGGTCAAATACTTATTTACCTCATTAAAATGCAAATCAATTTATAACATTTTTGACATGCGTTTTTCTAGATTTTTGTTGTTATTCTGTCTACCTACCATTAAAATTATAGACTGATCATTTATTTGTCAGTGGGCAAACGTACAAAATCAGCAGGGGATC